CCGCCCTCTCGACTTTTTTTTACTTTGATGTTCATTCCCCTCTGTGAAGCCTGAAGTCAACTAGAGGACTAATGATAACTAACAAAACGCCTGCCATTTGGAATAAATTCGTCTATAGCCTGCCTTCGTTTCAGGATCTCCAAAACTCTGGAACTTCAAGATAATCATCATTCAGTCTGTTATTTCAAGCACTCTAAATGACTACGAAAATGAATCGACACCCAACCGAAGGGATGGAATCTTACTTATTTGTGAAATATTACTTTTACCGCAAAACTTGTGAGAAGCTGGATTGTTCAAACTTTGTGGCTATTGTGTATCCTTTAAATGTTTCAAGTAGAATTTCAATTTTTCATTACCTGATAAGTATAAAAAGACGCAAGATTAATTTTTTAATTACCATTCCAAATGAAAACGCATGTCCGAATTTCGGAAGCTAGTAAATCCCATTAATCTTTCGTATGCTCATATCTGTTACAAATTGGTCATTCCCAGATCGATACTCTATAATAGAAGGGAATTTAAAGAAGCCTGTCTTTTTAAAATGCTATTTTTTAACTAAAGCAAATTTTATGGAAAATCATGTTTGCTTTTCATTCTTGCTCAAACAACGACCAATCTCCCCAGTTTTGCTCTTACAATACAAGGTCAAATAGCACTTATGGATTATTGATTACTGATTCTATCCCCTCTCTCACGGTGACTTTGCTTTTCAATTTGCGTTTAACTATACTATTGATTGTAGAGGTTTTTCCAGGTTTTCCATCCTTACTCATCAGCTGGTTCATCGTTCTCTATACCAAAAGTTCTCTCTTTCCCTCTCAAATTTTGAGTCATTCTCACCATTCTCAACTCTACTTTCTCAATTAGCACTTCTGTTGTTAATGAGTCATTTAAAGCAATTGGCAGACTTTGTGGTATTTATCATTAGCCAAGTAGCTGAATTTGGGCTTCACAGATGAGAGGAACACCAAATTCAAAAAAAAACGTCGAGGGAGGAGGGGACAGAAGAATGATTCACAAACATAAGAGAAACAGACACAAAGGTAATGAAAAAGGAAAAGTGAGATGATTAATGTGGAAGTAGTAGAATATGAAAAACAGAGGGGTCATGGTAGTTTGGAGTGAGAAGTCAACTACCAGTTGATGGACTATTTTGTCGTGTGAGTATACGTTGCCCATGTTTGATTATAGTTTTAGCGATAACAGTAGTGGTTGTTGTGGTCTTGTTGGAAGTAGTCTCTTAATTAAGTGCCAATTACGAAAATTTTTCTCAAGAGTGAAAGCATTTACTTTCCTTCCAGATGAGTTTCAGCGAGAATAATCCTAATGGTCAGGTTAAATAATGCTGATCCATTGGTAGTTTCTAATCTCTGATGTGTGGTATTTAGTGGCTAGAGGGCTTACTTTATAGGTGATTTCAACGTTTTCATAACTCTTTCTCCATTGTGAGGCAATAATAGTGAAAATCTCCTCGGGTTTTTCTAAGGACAAATTTTAGGACTGCTCCTCATGACCCTACTCAATGGACATTGTATGAAATGGTAACAACATTCATATTTCTACTCATATTTAATCAGTAGTACGCATTTATTTAATTTGTTTTTCGTATCCTTCTAAGTAAATTCAAGGATTAACGAATGGGCTTTCAAGTCCACTGTTTGCAATTATTGTACCTTTTTTCATGTTATGCATCCATTCATCATGAATAAATCGCCTATTGATGATAAACTCGTGACCTCATCACTTTCGTTTTCGCAAATTTGTCACTAATCTAATCTGATACAACGCTTTTACCTAACTCCTGTTTTGATATTTTACACAGAAATCTATTACTGCAAATATCGAAATGTAAACAATTCTAAGAGTTCATTCAAGTTCACTCATTTAAGTAGATGCCCTATGCCCTTTCATAATTTTTTTCCAGCCATTATTACTTTGATTGTCAAATCTCCTTTGCCAATTTGGTAAATAAAAGTTCACCAACTGAAAAAAAGATATCTATGTTAAAAGTTGACAAAATTCTGGCAAGTGACATGCGATTTTAGGTCAATCAAATATAAACATGGGCCCATTTTAATTGTCAGATTAATTGCACTAATAAATCTCATTTTATTCTAATCAGCACGATTTTCGCACGAATTTTACTGGGCGTAGGACAGTTTGCATATAAACTGCTGTTATTTTCTGGAATTTTCAAACGGTGTTTCCTATAAGTCCGCACGAAATTGATTTGTCCTTGACAATGTTTTGCTGAAGTTGCTACTTTTTGTTAAGATGAAATTATGTACCTTTCTTAACTTTAGCAAGAGTTAAAATTACGCGTTAACATAGTTAAAATAGATTAGCCTTATTTTTTATTCTCTAAAATTCGAGAGTTTTTATGTGCCTTTTTGTAAACGCACATTCAATGACCTGCAATAACTGAGTTTCCGAGATCAGATTGGCCCTACAAACCTACTTTGATTCATTAAAAGAAAATGGAAAATGAAAGAAAGTTGAAGCAAGGTCATAGATTATGGTTCCCAACCAGTGAGTTCACCTATTCGCTTGGTCTACCATGCTAAACAGAGAACAATGACTATTACCTTAAAGATGAAAATAAAAGCATTAGGAAAAATGACAAAAGTATACCGGGTGTGTTATGGCTTTGCAAATCAACATTATAGCCCTATAGTTATTTACCCGCTTTCCTGAATCGTGTAATTCATACTAGTTTTGTATTTCGACAGGAGACTAGATATCAAATCAATTGAAAGGGTTAGCTTTATGCAAAATGGCCCGCCCACCTAGAAGGCTGACGTGTTTTCGTGCTGCCGAGCTTACAAAATCATACGTATTAGTTTGTATAAACACCGGTTCGAATCAGGGTTAAACTGAGTGTAGTGTAGGCGTGGGGGTGTTTGTCTAGTCGTGTTTATACACTTTTGGTCCATTCACGTATACCAAGCCTGCTACCTATGACTATAGCACGATTGGCTCGATTTGGCAAATCCGATTCATCCAAACATAAACCATTACGTCAATTTGGTCAAGATTCAAGTAAATCACACATGGTTATCATGCTGCACTATCGGTAAGTACATGCATTTCCCCTTGTACTACGCTAAATCCTATCACTCCACATTGTAAGACATTTCATTTGTCCGCGTCTTTTGTTCTGTTTGTCGAGCGTTAGCTTTCCACATTAATCAGTCACTTGTAAGACTTAGTTGTTGCGCCGATGATATCGTAGCGGTCTGCGAAGTAAAGTGCCCCCATTTCAATGTCCGTCGAAAGTCACCTTGCAAACGGAATGATCCTCAAGAGTGGCTAGGTTTAATGAATGCAAGGAGAGTAGAATTTCGGTTTTCTACTCTGGAAGACTTCAAGATACTATCCCCAAACTTAAAGTAAAGTCTAAAAATGCTTGTTCTGGTTGCCAAAAGAATTTTGGGGACAAAATTTGATGGCTACTGCTTAATAACTAAGAGAAACTAAGAGGCAGCCAAACGCGAAAATTATTGATGTACTGCATAATCGATTTTACCCGAGGAGCTTCTATCATCTTCCTTATCTAGCTAGTCTACCGAAGTTTGAATTTATATTTGATGCTACGCAATTTCAATTCAGTGACTACGTTGAAGAATTAGAGATTTCATCAGGAATGTTAGAAAAATGGGAACAACATGCTGTATTAAAATATTTTATTTTCCCAAACACATTTGTTCAAATTTCTGAATGTTTAAATGGCTGAATAATTTGTATTTAAACTGCGTGAAATTTCGTCTTACTTCCTGCCACATTCAAGTTCCTTGATGATGCATATATTTGCATTTAAATTAATCAAATTTTACAGATTTTATTCAATTTTCTATTAAACCTCCCATCCTATGTTCTTTTCAGGCATTTTTTCCTCATTTTCCTCTGTGGCTCGTACATTCTCTCGGCGTCATCTAGAAACTGCTACCAAAACTGGAATACCAGTGACTTTCCTGTTGCAATAAGCATTAAACCGGGATTTACCAAAACTGAGACCACCATAGGTGTTAAAAGTGTCAACGTCACATGGGACTTTGATCAATCGGTAAATTTTCATGACAAAAAGGTACACAGCACTTTTTTACTTTCAATTTCATTGGCATTTGAAATAAGGCTTTTATATTGAGAACTAAAAAGGACCCTGGGGCGGTAAAATCAAAAGTTTGTAAAAGGTATTGAGGGACATAAATGACTAGCTTTTTCTACCTGAAATGACCTCTGGATAAGAGAATATACATCATCTCTGAGTTCAATTCTATCCTCACACTCCCGGCAACTTTATCTAGATATGGTTTCGAAGTCCATCTATGAGCACTCTGTGAGCAGAATAGTTGAACACGATGGGAACATGTTGGGGATTGATTAAACCTCCTATCTTTCACTGTCGGATCTCTGTGAAGCAAATCTTTTCACTAAAGTGCATCTTAGAAGTAATTTAATCTAGCTGTTCGCAATACAATTTAAGGATATTGTCGTCAATATTCTGCTGAAAATAAACCGGAGTCATTTCCTTCACTCCCCTCAGATTAATACACCTCAATTTCACGCCAAATAGAAGCTTCTATTACGGCCCATTCCATTTGGAATATGAGGGTGATGAATTACCCATTACGCTTTATTCTATCGTCGTTTATGTTCAATAATACTTGGCACTACAGTTTGAGAATTAAGTTTCTTAAATTCAGTAAAATGTCAATTTATCTAGAAAAAAATCGGCAGCTATAAAACCATCTACCTTAACAGCCAAGGCATTTGCTGAAAACAAGATTCTATGGTGCATTTATGGTGCAAAATATTTTTTCGACTGGTTATAGGTAGAAGGCATTGCAAATTATCCTAAAGGCCTGAGATGGGGAAAAGCTGAATACACGGCTGTGCGAAGTTCGTACAAAGGGAAGGCGAAAATCAAGGTCACAATCGATTATGCCAAACTGACTAAAGAAATGTGCTCATTGGGGCGGTTTCAAATTCTTTCGGAAACTCCAACTCGATCCAGAGTGCTCTTCACGGATAACAGGCCCGTCAACTTGGTTCTGGTGGCTTATAATGGGCAAGTTTTATCGCTATTTACATATTGAAGTGCGAGACATCCGATTGGAAGGATTGTAGCTTTCCGAGAAATACTTTACTTAAGGTTAAAATTTGCGCGATAACCATGGACTCTCTGTTAGCTGTCCTTATTCCACCTCATAAACCAACTATTCAAGTATTCTTTTAGCCAACATACATTTGTCTATCCAGAAGAGAGCATTAAAGAATAATTTGAAGCAAGAATGATTAATTCAAGGTTAAATAGAGAGATTCCAGTCTTGGGAGTTAATATTTCTAAGTAGCCATGGCTGTGTACAGGATAGCCATGTTATTTTCGGATCTGAATTTAGCTTAGACTCGTCTTTTAACCAAACCGCTTGTACATCTTAAGATTGAAGAAGGAAAATGACACCGATTGGCCAAGTTTGTAAATTTGAGTAAATTTACTGTATTATTTTATGAGGTTTTTTTGTTGTCGTTGCTTAAATTGTTTTTTTTCTAATCACTAAGCTAGTAGAATGGCACTAAACTAACTAAACTTTGCAAAAAATAAGGTTTCTTTAAGTAGAATCCTATTGGTTCCATTTTCTATTTTCCGAGGAGTAAATATGCTCTCTCCGATTCAGAGAAATATCGAAATTAGTGTAGCTATTTTTTCTTTCAATCCAGCACTTCATGGATGCAAGGTGCCCTTTCAAACAGCCACGATTTCTGCATGGAAAGAATGATTCCTGGAAGTACATATCAACTCTGTGTTGCTCCTGAAGACTGTCAGAATTTCTGGACTTGTAAGGCCTTCACAACCTTGACAGATCGATCCTGGAGTCAGCGGCTTTACGACCTTAAAGTCAGTATTGAGGGCAGGGATTACAATTGGATCCAACTTAGTTGGCCCCCACCGAAAATTAAGCTGCCCTTGTCACCTCCAGTAGGCTATATAATTTTTGTTATTAATCATAAAAGTTGCTTGGAACAAGTCGTTTATTATCAAGCTCCATGGGTAAGTGGTAGATGCCACATTTGTGCCATTAAAGTGGTTAAAATGTGCTCTATGTTCAACTCAATTTTTAGATCACGGAAGTGGAAAGTCATCATATTAGGAGCAGATCGAATAACCTAACTTTAAATCCTAGTTGTTCTGGGAAAAGAGTTACTTCAAGCGAAGGCAAACTTGATGGATATTGGCCAGATTTTCCGGGCTCACGAAGATCAACTTGGATTGATGGATGGAATACAGCAGAAGTAGACGAGCAAGGTCCCATCGGATTATTTGCAGTTACTGTTGGAAATCTTCGAAGCCGTGAAAAATATCACTTTGAAATTCATCCTATCGTTTATCCCGATGTTGATGCAGACATTCTACCAACTAAGATCACAGCCGAAACTTCTGAAACTTGTAAAGGAGTTAAAATCTAGCTTTACTATTTTCCGTCATGTGACTATCTTTAAGAAATATTTTATTCCAGATTCTGGAGTAGATATTGAGGCAAGAAGGAGTGATGTTAAGGTAAATAGTCGCTCATACACGAACTTCGCGGTTTCGGAAATCGGAGCCCGTTCCATTCATTGTGAGCAGCAAGTAAGACCAAGTTTTCCCTTACGCATATCTCTTCTCCCTAGGATCCAGTTGATAAAAACGGCGCTGGTGATCGACTGTGCAATAAAAGCGACAACTTTGTGATTAATGATCTTGTCATTCCATTGACACCTGGTGCAATGTATCGAATTGGTATTGGCTCCGTTCAAAAGGTCTTCCAAATTCCTTCATCTAACAGTAAGTACTTTGGTCGGTGATAATACCACTTTAAATAAGATCCATGACTATCGAAATCCCTCGGTGCAATAGGTCTGCTTTATAAATTTAGACGCATTAGGGTGGAGAAAGAATTGTATTCAATGAAGAGTAAATTATGCACAAACACATGCACACACACAGGGTGTCACAAAAATGTATCCATACTTAAAATAATTGTATTGTAACCGGTCTCATTTGCTTGAACTTTCTGCAGCAGTCTGTTATGCTAAGCATTATAGAGGATCTTGATGAAGAAGAACTTTAATTCCAGTAATACGGGCACCCCCTGATTACCATCGCTGTGTTAGGTCTTTTCTTGTCAAATGTATTTATTTATTTATTTCAAATGGCGGGCTTTATGATACTTATCATTTGCGCGTTAGCTGACTTTGAGCTTCATAGAGGGAAGGAGGAATATCAAAGTGAGAAAAAGTGGGGAGGGGGGACAGAAGAGTGATTTAAAGACATAAAAGAGACAGACAGACAGACACAAAAGCAGAGAAAAAGTAGGATAAGTATGGTGAAAGTGAACGGATAAGACATACAATGGGGTCATGGTAGTTTGAAGTCAGAAGTCGACTGCCGGTTTATGGACATTTACCGTATGAGAATACGTTGTCCAGGGTGAACCACGTGGAGGTAAGTCTATCGCACACCCCTTCTTTTCAAATGTTTTTTTAATGTTTTTGAAATAATAAAATTCTAATTGAATGCCACGTTTCCAAATAGTTTCAATGTGTATGCATTTTTCGGGTCACCCTCGATATGTGTGTGTATGTGTGTGCGTCAGCTGTTCTCTAATCTTATTGATTTGAGATTTATGCTTCTATACACAATAAACAAACTGAGTAAGAGGGGCTTGTCAACGGAATTGTAAATGGTGAAATAATCACCAAAAGCATCGAGACACGTAACAACAAAGTGTATGGACGCCAAATTGTTTTGTAAAATATATCGAATTTCGGAAAGTCGTGCGCCTTTCATTTCGAATAAAAACTCCTAACTCCAATTAGAAAAATACTTCTCAAAGCTCCTCTTAATTGGTAGGATTTCATTCTGGAGCCTCGTAAAATGTTCTTATTCTACCTTGCTTTTATTTATTATAAATGGCGGGCGTTTTGATAGTAATCATCAACACTTTAGCTGACTCCGGGCTCCACAGAGGCGGGGAGGGGGGGAATATCGAAATGAGAAAAATTCGAGAAGGGGAACAGAAGTGTCATTCACAGATGAAAAAATAGGCAGATACAAAGGTGGAAGTGGTGGAAAATGACGTACATTCGGAATATGGGAATTTGAAGTTAGAAGTCAACAGCCGGTTTATAGACTTTTTGCCAGACGGTTGTGCGCTGCCCAGGATGTACCATGTGAAGGTAAGTCAATCACGCACCCCGTCTGCCTTCCATAGTTTGCTAGACTCAATCACTGCTGTTGTCTTTCTGCCCTGAACCCACCCTGTGTGTGCTTTAAATAACACTTTGAGTATGGATAGTGCAAGGCTCAATCTTTGAGTGTCGCCACTTATTCGAGTGGAAAGTTGAGCCCAGAAAAGAAAATGACCGTATTCCTAATGTGTGCTCGTATTATTTTACCATTTTAGTTCCATTCCAACCTCAGATAAAAGGCACAGCGCTCTCATCCAATTTAATTTCCCTCAAACTTTGGAATCTCAATTCTACGTTTGCAAATCCCCCGGCATTTATAATAAGAATATGCCAAATAGACGAAGATACTAACTGTCGTAAGAATCCACTCTACGTGGAAGTGGTCGGTACCTACAGTCTCTTTGATGGTCGTTCGGTTTGGCAACATGATGTATCGGATAGTAGTTACAACCTAAATGCCCATATCAACGGTACTGAGAGGCCAAAGTTGTTTATATTGCTCTACACCTATTTTGGAAACGAGGAGGTTCAAATTTATAAAACCGAAGTGGAAACGCGTAAACCGAGCAAGTCGCCTTCATACTATTTAATTATTTCCTTGTTATTGATTAACTTTTATGCGCAATTAAATTTTCTAGGCTGCAAAAGCTGGTGCATTTGGCCAGCAGGTGATTGGAGCAATACGAAAGGAAGAGCATTTGGTGTATATGAGAGCTCTTTTACTCTATACAGTAGAAATGGCCATCGGTGTTCTGATAGATGTCTTCCACTTCTGGAGGCTATTAATGGCGAAAGTGGATGCACTTACAGAGGAAATGGCAAAGATCTCTGCAATATTCCAATCTGCAGTGAAGTCGGTAAGAATTGCTCTTTCGAGCACTTTGTTGCCTGTTTCCCTTGGGGCAGGCGCTAATACTTCCTACAGACAAGCACTAGCAAACAACAGTAAGTCTGGTTGAGAAGAATTGTACAGCGAGGAATTATCTACAATTAAGCAAAATTCATAAGCCCATTGAAGACAGCGTTTCCCCACTCATATTGAAAATAATGCAGAGTGGAGGTGGTATCATTGAACCCCTCTAGTGAGAATCTCCAATTTTCTCGCTGCCTAATTAGCCAAGCTAATCCCGCGTGGGTGGTCATTTCGCTCACTGGGTGGTTTCCAGTGGACATTAGATCCGTGACCTCTAATATCTTTGACGAGCGCCCTATCCCCTAATTCATCAACCTATTTAATTGTAAAGCGTGTGTATCGAGTAAATCGAGGAATCGAAAAAAGATGAATAACGGAATACTACCAACCATTTCTTCGTCAGCTCAACCGTGATTGGATGGTGTTGTATCTTCGGGACACCTTTACTGCCGTTATTCCACCACTCACTTGCCATCTGCTCTGTAGACAGACTAGATTTGACGATATTTTTTATTGGTTTTACTCAAACCTTAATCAAAAGTATGCTTCATCTTTGATTGGCTTCTTTAAGTTGATAAATGTTATTAGAGTATTATACATCCATTAATAAGACTTCTTATTGATGTTCCTTTAACAATAACAAAGCTCCGATCGGCTGCGTAACAGACACGGAATTCAAGGCTGGAACAACGTGGATTACTGTTGAGTGGAAAAATCCGAGAGAATCAGTCAATCCCGCACCAAGTTATGTGATTCTCGTCACAAGTGACTCCAAGGAGGAACCGTGTCGGGTTTTTGTAGATGTAAGTGCAATGCCAACTGAACGCCCTATTTTCTAGAATGCTAAGACGCTGAAACTACCACCATTCCTTCAAAATGTAGTGCAGAGCTGCAGTGGGGATTCAGTCACCAAGCTACCGTCCCAATCCCCACTGAACATCACAGATTTGGCGCAAAATACAATCTACAATATTTTTATTGTTCCTTACTTGGCAGATGGACGTTTAGGCGCAGTTCTGGAACGATCATGGGCTACTAGCCTCGCTCGTAAGTAAATATTTTACTCATGTATGCGTATATACTTAATATTGTGAAAAATTCAATTAACTGCATGCAATAAATCCCTCTTTATATTGACACAGCACAATGCGTAGATCAAACCGGATTTAAAATTGACCATTTGTTTAACATATCTATTTATATCAAATGGCAGGCTTTATGATAGTTATCATTAGCCCTTTAGTTGATTACAGGCTTCACAGAGGGAAGGAGGAACATCAAAGCGAAACATTCGAGAGTGGGGGGGGGGGGAAGAAGAGTGTTTTAAAGCTGTAAAAGAATCAGACGGACACAAAGGTAGATGAAAGGTGAGGTGAGTACTGTGAAAGTGGTCGAATAAGACATACAGTGGGGTGATGATAGCTTGAACTCAGAAGTCAACTGCCGGTTTATGGACTTTTTTCCCGCATGAGTATATGTTGCCCAGGGTGCACCATGTGGAGGTAAGTTTATCGCACACTCCATTTTTTTTAAATATTGGGTAGATATTTAGAGGTTGTTCGGTTCTTCTAAAGACAGTTTACCAAAAATATCAAAAACTCAGTAATATACCTTATAGGGATAGGACGACATTAAATTCCATTCTCTGTGGAGTTTGCAAGGGTTGCTGAAGCATCGACATTGCGTCATACTGCATTTGGCCGCTTCCCACTGGACTTTCTAATTTTCGGAGTTGGTTAAAAATCAATAAGGATGCCAATAAGATAGCAATCAATTTATTTTTAATTATACATACGTTTCGTCAATTAAAATACTCGTCTATGTAATCTTCCTCTTCATCCGCTTTTCAAGATCGTTCCTCTCCTACCTCTCTCTCCCCCAGAATGTGGTTCTTAGTTCTGTAAAAAAGCTGATAATAGGATGTCTACTAGGGAAACGAATTAGAGGATTGTCTACTTCACCGAGTCTGGAAGTAAACTGAGCTTGTAGAATGCGCGATTTCTTATTGTCATCCCTCCCCCCCATTTTTACACACTTGTCATTTATTAAAGCCTCATCTTCTCAGACTCAAACAAAAGAGTCAAGTAGATTCATGGCTTGAATAGCCGTTTTATTAACGAACAATTTTTTTCCTATTCAAGCCTGCATAAGTAGCGAGTATAATTGACTGCTAGATTAGCAAATAATTGCAGCACGGCTTCTCCACAGGTTTGTCTTGGATATCAAGACGTGGGGCTGGGAGTCCAATCGAACCTTTAAAGTCGATGAAGGAGTGGTGGAGATTGTGACCTTACTCTCCAGTGCAGTGTAAATAGTTGATCAGACGACCTTACAGCTTTGTGCCACCAATTCAGGAAGCTGAAACCATAGGTTATAGCACAATTGTGAAGTTAGTTTCTTGGGTGAGGGTGAAGCTGGAAGTATCACTTGTGTGTTTTAGAAAAAAGAAACTCGCAAACCCATATTTTGTGCACAGTACGGCCTTGGGTATGACCTTAGTATGATTAGGGAGTTGGAGGGGGGGGGGGCGTTTCGGTTACTTTCAGAGTTCGGGTAAGTGGCTATTACAAATTGAAGGTCTCCTTTGCATTTTCATTCACGCCAAGTTCTTTTTGATGATCAGAGTTTTATGTTAACTTCTGGAAAGGCTACAAATAGACAGGCCAATTCATTCGTTCAGGAAGACTTATCATAACTCATGTGCAATTTTATACTAAAACAGTAAGTCATAAAACAGAGACTAAATTATTTGCCTTTCCAATTGTTGGAATAAAAAATATTTGAAATGGCATGTTCAAGCACCATGTTTAAAACACGCACGCACACTTTTTGGTAGCAAAAGTTTGAATATTGTCACAGCCAATATCTTATGAACAAACCTCTTATTATTATGAGAACTGTCTTTAAGCGAGGGGGGTTCATCTATTTATTTATTTCAAATGGCAGGCTTTATGATATTTATCATTAGCCTTAAACTTTGACTTCAGCTTCCCCCAGGGGTGGGGAGGGGGGTACATTTATAGCAGTTAATTAATGGCAGTTCATTAGCTGTCTTCTTGCTTCCCAGTATCTCTGGTTTGCCGTCGTTGTCTTAAGGTCATGACACCGAATCAAGTGGGTCTTCTCTATTTCCTCACGTAGGTTACATAGGGGGCATGTGGGTTGAGCGTATACTCCCAATCTGTGAAGGTGTGAGGGGGATTCATAAAAACATGTCTTTTCAAAAATTTTTGGATTTGTATTTATGCTGCATCACTGCATTACTGGCATTCCT